AGCACCGCAGTGTGGCGATTCCACTGGTCTCAATTCTGGTGCCTCCATAAGCAACAAGGCTAGCTGCTTTCTTCTGCTTTACAAGTTGTTCGCTGCCATTAAGCCTTCTGAGGGTGTCCAGTGACATCACATTGCATTTTGCTCCTGTGTCCACTTTCATCTCTGTGGGCTTGCCGTTTATACGCATTGTGACAAATCCTTCATCCTTTTCAATGGCTTTTAGATTCACGCAATCAACCTGACTGTCAACTTCAACGTCGTCCACATAAAACTTTCCATCTTCACATGTTTGTTCCTCTATTTCTATCTCGTTAACGCTCTGTCTGCCAGTTTTCTGTCTAGGAGGTTGCCTATCTTGTCTGCACGGTTTAGACTTGCAGTAACTTTTAAAGTGGTTAAACTTTTGGCAACTGTGACACTGTTGTCCGAATGCTGGACACCTTTCCCGCTTAGCTGCGTGGCTGCCTCCACAATTGTTGCACCTCGTGATAGTCTGTGAGGAGGGCTGGGGCTTTGGCCACTGCATTCTGTTTGAAACTAGCTTAACTGCATTCACGCTGGCAGAGTTACTTTGCGATGCTAACGTCTTGCTACTTTCCTCGGTCATCTCGTGTATCCGACAGATTGAAATGGCTTTGGCAAGTGTTAGCTCGCTGTCCCTTAACAGAGCTTTTCTCAACGTGTCGCTGGTAACGCCACACACGATGCGGTCGCAGATTAGCTCCTCTGTTAGGTCTCCAAAGTGGCAGCCTTTAGCCTTAATCCTTAAATCACTAATGAATGATTCAATGCTCTCACCTTGTTTCTGACCTCTGGTATGAAATTTGTGTCTTTCCATAGTCCTGTTGTTTTGAGGATTGCAGATTTCCCGAAACTTTTTCTTCAAACATTCGGGGTCCTCTCGAGATTCAGCAGGGGTAATGATCCTTCCGCCATCTCCTGGCGCGCGCACTTCAGCAGCGTAGGCAAAAGAACGCTCTCGTTCGATGGCGTCTGGACCGGCAATGTTGAGAAGGATATAAGCTTGGGTTTTTTGTTGACTTGTCCGAATGTGCGGCAGCAATAAAAATATCGTACTCCCTCTCAAAAATACGCCAATTCTCGGCGATATTTTCATCAAAAACGAGAGGGTCGGGTCTGCGAAATCCATCCGCCATCACGTTGGGTAGAGGAAAACAACGTTGTCAACTGGCGATAGCTACGCTAGCGCGGTCCAATGCAACAGGTTGTTCAACGACGACAGAGAAAGAAAGAAAAAACACTCACTGGCGAGAGGTCCGTACTCGCTTCTGACACCATGTAGAAAGTCTGTATTTGTTGGTATGAGTCAATGATAACACAGAATGTAAATGACTGCGTTTAATCCAAACATTCGATAACTGGCATCCGATACAGACCAGATAGAAGTGCACCAAAACCACCGGGCATTCTGACTGGTTGAGACAACCCACTACGGTGGCCCATAATAAACAAACTGCATAATCATTTAACCAAACGCCTACAGGTAAATTGTCTAGAAAAGTAGTATAGTGTGATGTGCCATGGCAGCAATCTGCACGAGGATGTCATATATTATTTACAGAATTTTACCTGATAGAAAAACATGCTCAGTTTAAATCTTATTTTAAGGTGAGGTAGAATTAAATGAACGGCAAAATTCAGCATTTTGTTCCCGTTCCCCCTTCTGTCACCTCCTCACGTACTCCAGTTTGAGAACCACTGCCTTTACATATATTTGTAAAGCGACCTTGGGTATTGGAAAGACACTAAATACAAATAATAATAATAATAATTATATTAATAACCACCCAAACACATTTTAACATAAACTGCATGATACCAGTGCTTTATGATAAAGTCAGTAATTATTTAATGCCATATTACAAGGCTGAGGCATTCTTACACAAAAACAAACAAATTGCACAAACTTTGGCCTCGAGGCCACGAGTTAGTATCTTGAGGCCACGAGATACTATCTTGAGGCCACGAGATACTATCTTGAGGCCACGAGATAGTATCTTGAGGCCACGAGTTACTTATCTTGAGGCCACGAGATAGTTATAATAATTTTTTTTGACAAAGTGGGACTAGGGGGGCTCCGTAGTTTTGAGAACAAGAAATGAAAACCAATGCGATATGATGAATGTCCAAAAGATGGAACCCACAGACTGTTTTAAAAAGGGGTTGGATAAATATGTTTTGCTTTTAAAAATGTGTGTGTGTGTGTTTGGTTGGGTGACAGTGTGACAAAAGCACAATGTTGTGTTTTATTGCGAGTGTACACAAATATAAGTAAACACTTTGCAGACTGAATGATGTCCTGTATAATGACGGAGTATGTTTTTATGTTTCCACTGTTCGATCGCGCCCGCGCCTCTCTCTCTCTCTCTCTCTCTCTCTCTCTCTCTCTCTCTCACACACACACACAGTTCGATCGTGCCCGTGCCTCTCTCTCTCTCTCTCTCTCTCTCTCTCTCTCTCTCTCTCTCTCTCTCTCTCTCTCTCTCACACACACACACACACACACACACAGTGCGATCGCGCCCGTGCCTCTCTCTCTCTCACACACACACACACACACACACAGGTCGATCGCGCCCGTGCCTCTCTCTCTCTCTCTCTCTCTCGCTCTCACACACACACAGTTCGATCGCGCCCGTGCCTCTCTCTCTCGCGCGCACACACACTCCAGCATTGCAAACTTCATTATGCTGTGTTCACATCAAACGCGAATAGAGCGAAATTTATCGCTATCTAGAGTTTTATTTATTTTTATACCGTGTATTCTCCGCAAATTCGTGCACCGAACCGTGACGCCCGTACCGTTTCGGTTCAATACGAATACATGTACTGTTCCACCCCTAGACACTACAATATTATTGTTAATTATATCACACAAAAAAGCGGTAGCTAACGTTAATTGAATCAAGCAAACAAATAGCTGTTGTTTTTGCTCCAAAAAGCTTGACTTACCTCGAATTTCACATAAGATCCGTGAGCTCAGTTGACGCTGTAGCCTATGCTTCAAGATTCTGACACAAGTGCTAAGATTCCGATTGGCCCAGAGAAATGTAAATTATAAGAATTATCCAATAATGTTTCGCAATTCTAGCCTGCATGGCATGCAGATGAAGGGCAGCCTACCCCACCCCCTAAAAAACTCTCCAGTTCTATGCCATTCACGTAAATGACCCAATTGACCAAGAAAACGGAGATTAAGTTTGCAGGTCTGTATGAAACAAATTCTCAGCTCTCAGATTCTGTCAATTTAATAACGAAATTCAAACAATAAACACCGTTTTGGCGCTTGTAAATGTGACGTGACAGATCGCTGACAGATCTCAGTTCAAGCGGCACGTGAACCGATCATCCGTTACTCTTTACTACTAGTTAATAGTAAATAAACACGAATGATCAATAGGTAGTTTGAAAGATACAGTTCAACTTACCAAAATGTAATCAAATAGATCGATCAGTGTTTTTCAACCGCGGAAAGAGGTCCATAAAACAGCTGGAGAACAATGTCATAACGTTACATTTACCTACATTGGACTTAAAAAATTGCTATAGAGAGGAGTATTTAGCTAAATATGATAACTATATTACATATTTATTATATTTTTACCTATATAATTAAAATATTATAAAGTTGTTATAAAAAATGCATTGTATTTAATTTAAGATGTTATTTTTAACCTTTAATAATAATACCATCTGACTGGCTCTGTATGTTTACAGCATTAGGTGAGATTTTTTTGGGGCGAAAAATTAACATAACACAGTAACGTATCTACTGTACCTAATATTTATCCAAATTAATAGATATTGAATCAAGATCAGAATCAAATCACAAGAATTGAATTGAATTTGTGAAATTTGTGTCAAGCAATAATAAAAACAGTAGCATACCAGTCATTGTACCATTGTATGGTACATGTAAACATTGTGTTGTCACTAAAACTACACTAAATATCTGTTTAATTACCAAATGTTTTGACAATCACAATACACTTATTGTGATGCAAATTTTTTTTTTAACACATCCTCCCAATCTCAATCCACCCATTTTATGTTATGTCACGTTATGTTATGTTACATTTTCACGGTTTACAAAGGCAGGGCCTGCCATCTTGTCTTTTTGGCTGGTTGTTTCTGATTGCACTTTAATTAATTATTAAACGTAGAAGGTAAGATTTTCTTCAGCATTATTGCCCAGAGATTGTCCACCTACCTATTAAACAATGGCTTCATTGACACTTCAGTTCAAAAAGCGGGCATTCCAGGGTTCTCAGGATGCTTAGAACACATCAATGTTATCTGGCAACGAATTCAGTCAGCTAAAAAGGAGAGGAAGGAGCTCCATGTGACATTCCTGGATTTGGCTAATGCATATGGTTCAGTGCCACATGAGCTTCTTTGGGCAGCATTTGATTTTTTTAGAGTACCAATGTCAATAACAAATTTAGTGAAAGCCTATTTTGGAGATTTGCGATTTAGTTTCTATGAGAGGAAGAAACTGCGGTATGCTCATCTGGCCACTGAAGCAGAACAGCGAGGATGGAGAGTCCAGGTTTATCCAGTGGAAGTGGGTTGTCGAGGTTTTGTGGCACACTCTACAACCCGGTTCCTCAGAGACGTCGGATTCAGTGGCCAAGAGTTGCGTCGCACAATAAAGAACTTATCTGAAGCAGCAGAAAGGAGCAGCAACTGGCTGTGGTTGAGATGGAAAGATTCTAGCTGGCTGTGTACAGGCCGCCACGCTACGGTTTCGTAGAATTCTTGAAAACTTGAAGAGTCTGTTGGTTTATTTGTATAGGTTGTAGAGTATTTACAGTCATTACGTTCCTGTGTATATTGCGTGAATGACGGGTGGTTGGGCAGATATTGTGTTTTTGCGGTAGGTGGTATGCCATACGGAACCGTTGCCACTGAAACTGCATATTAATGCACCAGTGGGGCTCGACAGCCTTAGTCAGATAGATAGATAGATAGATACTCACCTCGGACATGTTCACAGATCATAAGATACGGAATGAGAGCAACACTGAGCCACAACACCTTGCATCCCATCTTGTTAATGTCGGTGAATGTCAGCCTTAATCAAGGCCAATGTTATTTGTTTTCTGCACCAAACCAAAGACATTTTAGCATCATGACGTAAGAATGCACTTTTAAAATATGTATTTTTGAATAATCAAAAGTTAACACTTGCATTCTCTACAACAAAACAGGCACAAAAGATTTACATAAACACAACCTGGTTCTGTTAGCGGCTAGCATAACAATAGCATAACAATAACAACAGGTTTGAATTATTAACGTCATATTATGCCCATGATTTGACCGAATGAACAAAATAGGTTTAGTTAACTAACCAAGCTTCAATCGACTTTTTATAGGCTAAGCGTAACACTAAAAAATATGTTAGGCAAAGCTTGAGCTTCTTTTCTCTTCTGTTCCGTCAGAGACTATTTATATAGGTTCCGTTCACAGTCCATAGCCCAAACCCAAATCTAACCCGACACACATACAACAATAAATAATATAATTTTTTTTTGTTTATTAAAACCTCTTTTCAAGCGGTTGTGGTAGGTATAACGTTAGCTACTCAGAGAAGTGAAAATCCTTGTTTTAAGCATCCTTACTTACCTTTAGGTGTTTAAGATTTTTCTCAATGTTCTGTGTTTGATTCAGAGGCATATAAAGCCTGTTTAACTTGCAGGAAATTAGATAAGGGAAGGGTGGAGAAAGATCTTAGTTCTCATGAAGAAATTTTCCATCTGAAGAGGGCGTTATCTATGTGTAATACCGCAGCACCAGCAGTTTCAAAACCACGGCCACAGAAACGGAAGTGAGTGGAGTTTGATCGGAAATCTACAATATTTAACCACAATACTTTTAAACAAAGTCACTTTTCTGTTCATATAATATGCATAAGATATCATGATGTACAATGAGACATTTTTTAAAACATAGCCTATTGATCTACTTAATGTCAATGATAACACAGTTACTTCAAGGAGAGCCTAATGGTGCGTTCACGTGCTATGGTAATTATGGTAAATACCAAAAGCCAACGTGGAAAGAGCACATGAACACCCTCTCATGTGGTATTTTCCACTGGGCAGCTCGTAGAATATTTTGATGCACGAGTTGCCGAGATGAGATAACCTTTGACCTTTTCAAAATGGCGGAGAGCAACGCGAGAGTCGTGAATGGTAAAAATATGTACTATTCATGATCTAGAAAATATACAGCATATTATTTACCGTTTGAGTTTTTGATAAATAATTTTCTTGCTGTAGCAGATGACTTAAGCAATCTAAAATAGTTTTAGCTAAATAACAGGTCTCTCCATCTTTTTACCACATTACGACAACAAAAGCACTTGAACGCAACACACTGGTAAATACCAGTTCACAAGTGGAAAATATCATATTTTCCATAGCACGTGAACGCACCATAAGTCCCTCCCCTTCCGGTTGACCACCATGGGACCTTATTTCGGAAAAATATTGTATGATAGTCAATGGCGAGAGACAACAAATATTTTGATCTCGTTTGAATTGTGCCCTGAATTACACATATGATGTTTGTCAATTTAAAAGATACATTTTAAAGTAAAAAAAGTCGCAGTTTGATGTAAAACTGTTGATTTTCCGCCATAGTTGAATAAAAAATATAATTCTGTAAGTCATAATAATGAGAAACTTTCTCATAATTATGACTTAACATCTTGTAATAATGAGAAACTTTCTCATAATAGTGACTTAACATCTCATAATAATGAGAAACTTTCTCGTAATAATGAGAAACTTTCTCGTAATAATGAGAAACTTTCTCATAATTATGACATAACATCTTAGCCTGACTTCGTCATACTCATATTCTAGTCAGAATGTGAGTCTGATACTGCTCCATAGGGCTTTGATTATGAGGCGTGTCTTAACCGAACCAGGAAGAAAAAAAACTCTGCACTCAATTGGATAGACCTACAACCAATCAGTGCAACGCAGTAAGTGTTTTTTTTTTATGAGCTACACAAATTGTCAACAGAACAACTACACGCACGGTGGAAGAAGTAGTAAAATAATGAGTGTTGCTTCTTTTACTTGGTCCTCCATGAGTGCGACCAAAGGAGAAACCACAACGACCGCAGGGTTTTCATTGCGTCCCATCTTCTTAGCGACCATCGGAGCCAGCTGATAAATTAAACTTTTGCTGAATCCCGTAGGAAGGACGGCAAACACATCTTTTTGATCGACAAATGCCTTGATTGCAATTCTCTGTTCGTCTTTTAAAATGAATGCGGTGTCGATTTCTTTTACAACAGACGCGATAGCGGAATCTTTACATCTCAATTCTCCAGCTGCAGTCATCTTTGAGGGAAACCAGTTCAACCCAAGCGCTCTTTGATAACGTGATGATTACGTAACTGCAGATCATCTGTCCATCATCGTATAAAGCCCACCCTGGCAATTTGATTGGCCCGACTAATTCTGAACCGATCATAATTACTCCTCAATGGAGCGAGTCCAGACCGAACTTCCCGACCAAAAAATGTTGTGGGCAGGGTTCGGGCTGGCATCCAGGCTAATAACATCTCATAATAATGAGAAATTTTCTCGTAATAATGACTTAACATCTCGTAATAATGAGAAACTTTCTCATAATAATGACTTAACATCTCATAATAATGAGAAACTTTCTCATAATAATGACTTAATTTCTCGCACTTCTACTCATGCGCAAAGCAGCGGAGCAGAAGGGAGTGCCACGCTAGTGACATCCGCTGGTCAAAGCCGTGTAAATGCATCACAGCAAACATGGCACATTCCGCAGTGAATAACATTAATAAATTATCAGTATATGAGACGGGCTTCCATACTAGATAGTCTTTTTTTTCATTTGTAATAATGCAAGCATAAAAAGTTTTTTTGCGATAAATGGGAGTTTTTGCGAAATTGACGTGTTTCCATTGGGCGTATTTTCAATTCGCAATTTCAATTTGCGCAATTTGAAGGGTAATGCAAGGAGAAAGCTATACATCAATTCTATGCAGAGATGCTGCTGAGTTCCCTTTCGAAAGGGAACTCGCACTGCGTCGAATGACGCTTTGGGGAACGCCTCAAGTGTTGTTTTGTTCCTACCACACTAAGATTACCCTCATGTGCCAACTGTAATGCTCTTGCTCGCAGCGACTGTGGCAAAACAATTCTTGTTCCTCTGAGTATTATTTGGCCAATGACATAGCTCACATGCAATATGTCTGTATGCAGGACAGTCATCAAAACAACCTGTTTGAATAGCAGTTCTCAGTCTCTGTATTATTTGCTGAGATCTGCTTGACTTCCTTGGTGGTCAGGGCACTGGGTGTCGGACAAACTGCTATAAACCGCATGTATTCCTCTGCTTTATGTGTGTGCATCTCACCTTTGGCTGATGGGCCCAGCAGACGTGACAGAGGATCTGCAATGTTGTTTGTTCCTGGTAAATGAATCACCCGGAAATCATAGGGCGTAATCTCAAGACCCACCTTTCGATTCGTGCACATGGTTTTGAGCAAGGGCTATAAATTGCCTCCAATGCTTTGTGGTCTGTGACTATATCAAACTTCCGACCATAAACGTAAGGGTGCAATCTTTCACATGCCCACACCAGAGCAAGTGCTTGGCGCTCTGTTTGCGAATATCTTTGTTCAAACTCTGTCAAGCTCCTGCTCACATAGCAGACAGGAACCATTCCTTCACGTTGGTCCTGAACTAACTGCTCCAATGCCCTTTGGTCCAGCTTCGGCAATGAATTTTGTTGGTGCGTCCTTGTCAAAGTAAGCCAGTGTTGTGGCCTCGGCCAACTTTTCTTTGAGAGTTTTGAAAGCTTTCTTTTGATCAGTTCCGAAATGAAATTTGGTGTCTTTTTTTTTGTCAGTCTGCGCAGAGGTTCTGAGATGCTCGCAAACTGAGGTATGAAACGGCTACTATAGCCAGCTAAATGGAGGAAAGTTCTCACCTCTGAAACGTTTTCAGGCTCTCTTGCCTCCACAACTGCTCTCACCCTCTCTGCCGTCGGGCCTATGCCTTTCACTGACAGCAGCATCCCCATAAACACCAATTTGTCCATGTTAAACTGGTACTTCTCTACATTCAAAGTCAAGCCGCAGCTTTCCAGTCTCTTTAGTACTGCATGCATTCTTTTCTCATGAGTCTCTTTGGCCCCATTTACACTGCATGGTTCAAGTGACCCAAATCCGATTTTTTTCTTCTCATGTTGCACAGATCGGATGTGTCCCATAACCGCATGGATTCCGATTTTCTCAGATCGGATTCAGGCCTCACTCATATGTGGTAATAAATCGGATATGAATCGGATACGTGCATTTGCGTGTGCCATGTAAGCAGACAAATCGGATATTCCCCAGTAAATGCGAGTCGTACGTCATTAAAAAAGTGATGTCAACTCAGGTGGACACCACCAACTGAGATCACATGACTTATTATAGGCGCGATGGAGGACGAAGGATACACACAGTGGAGCAATGCGGAAGTTTCATGTCTTTTGAGTGTTTGGGGCGAAGAGACAGTGCAGGCAAAAATGCAGGGTTGTTACAGAAATAAATCCGTGTTTGAAGACATTTCACGAGATATGGGGAGGCACGGTTTTAAGCGCTCGTGGCTACAGTGCCACCGTAAGATAAAAAGCTTAATGACTTTTAAAAATATTGTGGAAAGCAAAACACTGGATAATTTTATTCGCATCTGCATCCATTGTATTTCGTGCTGTTTTACTTCCTTTTCCGGGTCAGAACGTCTACATTTGGTAGTTTCAGCAGTGTATAGTGTAAATGCAAAAATCGGATACGGGTCACTTTTAAAAGATGATGTAAGCGGGTCGTCAAAAAAATCGGATATAGTCAGAAAATCGGATTTGGGCATCAAGACCTGCAGTGTAAATGCAGCCTTTGTCAGCTGCATGGATGATGATGTAATCTGATATGTTCTCTACTCCTTTGATGCCAGCTGTGGCTATTTCGTGTTGGTACTGCTCACTTGATGACGAAACTCCAAACACCAGTCTTTTGAACCTATATATGCCATTATGAACGGCGAAAGTGGTGATGTCTCTTGATTCTGGGGTCAATGATGGTACCCCCATCTCAGGTCTAGTTTGCTGAAAGCGACTGACATATTCATTCCTTGCAACAGTTCATCCACTGTGGGAATCGGGAACCGCCCACGAATGATTGCAGTGTTTGCTTGTCTCATGTCCAAACACATCCTTATTTCCCCATTCGCTTTGGGTACAATGACAACTGGGTTTACCCAAGGTTGCTCCATTGACTTTCTCGATAATGTCCATGTGGAGCAGCTCATTTATTTTTTCCTCAACAGCCTCTCTAAGGTGGAACCTAAGGGCCTAAGGGCCTGTGCAACTGGCGTATCTGTGCTGTCTATGTGCAGGCTAGAGAGGGAGGAACACAAAACACAAAAACTGCCAAAAATCAATGGTTTCTGAAACTTGCCAAAGGCAGACTGCCAGACAACTAGCCAGCCACTGACAGGTCACGTGACATGCCAGAATCAGACTGGAAGCTGCCAGCCCGCCACTGAAAGGTCACGTGACATGCCAGTGGTGGCTCCTGCCAGCCAGCTGAAGATTGAACCCCTACTGCTTTTCAGTTAACTGAGATAAACTAGTCGGCGTGACTCACGTCTAACTCACTTTCAGATTTAACTAACGAGTGAGTCCTTGTTGCAACATCCTCGTCGCCAAT